TTGCAGCAAGGAAAGATATTCTAAATAGAGACAACATGAAAAAAAGGCAGGGAGGTAAGAAAAAACAGGCAGACAGCAGGTATTACAGGCTGAATTATATCTCTCCAAAATCCTTATGTTGAAGCTCTAACGCCTAGTATCACAGAATGTGACTGCATTTGGAGATAGGGCCTTTAAAGAGGTAGTCAAGTTAAAATGAGGCCATTAGGGTGAGCCCTAATCTAATCTGGCTAGCGTCTTTATAAGAGGAGGAGATTAGACACAGAGAGAGACACCGGGAGTGCACGCACACAGAGAAAAGACCATGTGAGGACGCAGCAAGAAGGTGTCCACGAGCCAAAGAGAGAGGCCTCAGGAGAAACCAAACCTGCTGACAACTTAATCTTGGACATCCAGCCTCCAGAACTGTAAGAAAATAAATTTCTGTAGTTTAAGCCACTCAGTCTGTGGCATGCACATTTCATTTTGGCTATGGATAGAGTTGCATACTTGGGTTTTATCCCGACTATTAAAGGATGTCTCTGTCACCAGGGGGTGAGGCGTTCATGAGGAAGGTAGGAAAAGGCGTCTGCGTTTCCCTAGAATGGTACTGACTGTGGAGGCAGCAGCTAGGAGAAAGAGCCACAGCAGACTCTGGGCTTGTCAGCACGTCTCTACCTGATAGATTTTAATATATCTTTCTTAGCACGAGCTTGACTTTAACAACGCTTCCAGAAAGAGGGGGAAATGATAATAAATCAGAAGCAATAAAAATCCACAGAGCTTCCTTGCGACCCCGCCACTGTAGTCCTTGGATCTGCCGGCCTGTCGGAGTGTGCCAACTGGAAGCACTGAGACAGAAATGCCGAATCTAGCCGGGCCCCAGCGAGAAGGGGCACGGGAGCCTTTCAGAGCCCCCCGCATCTTCCTTGGCAAGAGTCACGACTGCTGCACTGGTCAAGAGCGGAGTTTTCAGGCAGGAGACGGGGAGTGGGTCAGTGTGGGAACAGGGGAGAGTGGAGCGGTGGTGGCCAGGCAGGGCAACGCAGGACAGCAAAAAGATCAGGCTCTGCCTGGCACACAGTTCCACCCAGGGCTACTGGAGAGGTGAGGGAGAGTCTGGAGAGAGCCACTGGGGTCTTGTCTATGGGAAAGGCCTCTTTAATAATTAACAAATGCGAAAAGGCCAGGAGTCAGTAATGTGAACCCTAGCATTTTGAAACTATGAGCAAATTGCCAGGCCGCAAGAGCCTGCAGCCCACACTACAGGCTCCCCAAGCCAGTGAAGGCTGAGAAGGCTGAGAAAACACAAGAAACTGATGTAACCACACGAAACTTGCGACCAAGTCGCTCTAAGACACATTTGATGAGAGCCATGATTCAACAGTGGATGTACGGAAGGCACAAATGGGAAACGGTTTTTATAAATTACTGAAATTAGCAGCAACTCAGAGCCAAACAAAATTTTAGTTTTTCTCTTCTCACTTTGTTAATACTCCAGTATCTATAATCAACACAATGTTGAGTTTTCTTTTTTCCTGATATCTACTGAAAATTAGACCCATGCTCTCATGTGTAAAAAGACAAAGATGCTTGGTCCAAGGATACTTGTTTTAGCCCGACCTTCATGTCCTTCCACAGTTGAAGATACAGGGAATATTTTTATTTTAATGCAAATAAATGCTATATTGGAAGCAAGGAGATGGTGTAGGGAAAAGAGGATAATTTAATCCCTGGGTTTCAATCCTCACTCTGCTGTTTATCAACTGTATGATGTTGGACATGTTATTCAGTCTTTCTGGGCCTTGAGTCACTAAGTGAAGATGTTAAATAGCCAGCAAGAGAGGTGGGGGAGGCCTGGCCAATGACACAGAAGGGAGTCCAGCAGAGTGTGACACACAGAAGCAAGAGAAGCAAGTGCTTTTAGTATGAGGGGGCACTCAACCATGGTGAGAGCTGCTGTAAGGATGCTAAGAGAAGTTTCCGTTGCCACTGGCAACAGGGACAACGTATCAAGACACAAACCAACTTCTAAATTGTCTGGGTTCATCATTTCAAGACCATGGGGTATCTTGAAAGAAAAAAAAAAAGATAGCATCTTCAATCACTGTATTGTTTTAAGAGACTTCTTTCCCAGGGTCTTATTTGCATATTAAAACAAAACAAAATCTGAGAACAAATTTTTACAACTCTGGTTCTTCCTTTCAGTTTCAGTAACTTTTAAGTTCTCTGTGACCATGTAAGGGAGAATTTGAAGAGATGGGAGTAAACTAAACCTGGACTATACAATTCGGGGCAGGCTCAGAAACATTTCCTCCTCATTGTGACTGTGTCTGATAACAATCGTTTCCACACTGATGCGCAACAAATCTCTCAAATGGAGTTATTTCATGGCTAGCCTAAATTTAGGTAAACACAACTTCTGAACAGAAGAAAAAGAAAAACAAATGCCATAACAAGGCTTCTAGCATAAGGGTCTAAAAATAGTGGATTCTTTCTCCCAGCACCACACACAAAGGAAAAGCTCTTGGCGGTCAGAAGCTGGGTTGATCACAGCTCCGCAGAGTCCAGAGGTAAGGCTCTCCTCACGTGTGCACTGCCTTCCCAGGCCTCTGCCCCACCACACAGCTTTGGTCACGCAGAACTGCATGTGTCAAAGGCAGCTGGAGAATGGAGAAACCGAGTCTTGAGAGGTGACAGGATTGGCTCAGTTACGCGGCTCACACGTACGCATGCTCCTGCATCAGCCACCTTACAGCAAACCTCCCTGGCTCTCGACTGCTTCCCTCCCAGCACAAGTTCTCTCACAAAGGCCACACTCACTGTCTCCACTTCCTGATTCCCTCCCATTCACTCTTCTAGCCACTTCAGTCTGGCTTCCTCCTCCACCACTCATGAATAAATGCATGTACATCAAGGTCACCACATCTTTCACATAGTCCAACCCAAAGGTCACTCCTCTCCTTCCCCGTTTCACACCCCTCAGCAGCATCTAATGCCCCATTCCCATCATCTTGACTCACTTTTTTTCCTGGCTTCCATGACCCCCGGTGTGTAAGTTCTCTCTACACTGATTTCCACAGCTCCTCTGCCAGCTCCTCTCATCCTCTTCTCTCACTTTTCTTCCTCCCTGGTGATTTCTACATGCTCAGAATTTTAAGTATTTATAGGCCAAATGTTCCAGTCTCTCCAATGAGCTCCTGACTTGTAGACTCCACTGAGTATTCAGTATTCAATATCTGTTTGGCATCTGAAACTTAACACACGCAAAACTGGAATCTTTATTTTTCCCTCCAAAGCCTGCTCCTCTCAAAGTCTGTGTTCTGTCACCAAATAGCATCACCATCTACCCAGCCGCTCAAGTCAAAGTCTAGAAGTCGCACTGGACACTCTCGGTTCCCTCTTCTCCAGCCTCAGTCGACCAAAGTCCTGCCAGTCCCACTGCCAAAACCTATCTCAAACAGGTCTGCTTCTCGCCCCGTCACTGCCATCGACAGGAGCTCTTGCATGGACCACTGCAGTGTTCTAACCCTTCTCCTTGCTTTCCACATGATGCCTCCCATCCCATACAGCAGCCAGAGCAGGACTGTGGAAACACTAGACAGACTGTGCTCCTTCTCGGCTGACAGCCCAGCAGCAGCTTCCACTGCACCTGCAGGAAGGCTCGCTGACCTGGCTCCTGCCTGCCTTTCCCCACCCTTCAAGCCACACTGCCCTCCTTTCACACCAAGCCCTCTCCTGCCTCGGAAACTTTGTGCTCCTCAGATAGGCATTCCCCAATCTCCTTACTACAAAGCGCTGCATTCTCTTTGAGCCACTTCTCACCACCTGTAACTAGTTGTACATGCAACAGGGTCCTCGCTAAGTGGAAGCCCCATGAGAGCAGGGACCCCGTCCATGTTGGTCGTCAGTGGAGCTGTCCCACTGGGTGAGTGACGAGATGTGCGAACGGTGGTACTGGGTGGGGAATGCAGGGTTCCTGGCTCTGGAGCTCCTAAACAATGGATGAGTCAGTGTGGTTAGTGTGCAAGCAGGGGACTAAGCGGGGGACTTTTCCGTGGGAAGAGTGGCCACACCCCATGCTGCAGCGCTGCACAAAAGCACCAGCCAGCCTCCCTGGGGTCAGGCTGAGGGGAGCATTTCCCTCAATAGGCAGTCGCTGTGGAGTGGGGGTGTTTATTTAAAAGTAAACAACAACAATAGAACTGGTCCAGGCAGGCTTCTACCCAGGAGGGGGACAACCTTGAGGGCTGCCATCTAAAGTGGCAGCGATTCCTGGATGGCCCCCTTCCCACCTGTCTGACTGCCGATTCCAAACACTTGGCTCTAGTCAAGAGGGTACAGGATGAAAGCTTCTGTTGTCATAGCAACCTCAGAGCTCTTGGGGCCTAGGCTTGAGGTTTCAGATAAATAACTGTTTAGAGGAGTGAAGAAAACGAGCAAAGCAGAGAGGGACAGAAATGGAAAAATGGCAAGAAGCAATCCTACAAGTGCTGTAAGACACAGTCTGAAAACAAAGCTCAGGAGCTGGGAGTGGCCTCCTCCCACAGCGCAGGGGAGTGGCCTCCTGCTGGGAGGGATCCGGAACAAAAGGCCCCATTGACACAAACATCTGTTACTGCTAAACACTTAGGAATCAGTATTTTCCTAAAGGTTTTTTTCTTTTGGCTTTGAAGGGTTACTGTCTGCGAGGCTACCAAACCCCAGCCCTCTCCAAGTTTGCAGCCACCACATAAAGTGACTATTAGAACTTCAAAAGAAGAATTTGCTCCCGGAAATGGCCTTGTGCTAGTTTTTTCCAGGATGGAGACACCAGGAAAATGTCAAAAGGCAAATCCAAACCCACACCCTGAAAGACTTACAACACAACCATCACATCCCTGGGAGGAGGAGTAACCCAGCGCACTGAATCTAAAAGGGACCTTGGCAGACTGAATAGATGGCACCAGAGGACGTGCCTGGAAGGAGAGCGGGAGCGGGAGGGTGCGGGGCCCGGATGGGAAGGACCAGATGTGCTTTACCTCAACACCTGCATCTCCTCGGGGGAGTTCCGCACTTCATCCTGGAGGCGCCGCCAGCGCAGGCAAGCCCTCAGCTCCTGCTGCTCCTGGGCCTCGCGGGGGGCCAGCTGCTTGGGCCACAGACACACAAACACACGTGCACAAAACACAGTCACTGTTGTCCTCGCGCAGAGTCAGAGCCACCCAATGGAGTGGCTGGCTTTGTTTCTGAGGGGATGGCTCAGACGGCCTCCCTACTGTGCCATGAGCCCCATCAGAAAAGTGTCGAGGACCAAAGGGGCCTCTTAGGGTCCTCAAATGAAGAATCAGCCACTCAACTTCGTGCTGCCTGTTTGACGGGCACCCCCTTGGTCCCAGAACCTCCCCACCCCGCCCCCCTGGCCTGGAGAGAGCAAGCTCACTAGAGGGCCATTTCCACCCTGATTCCACCCAGCCCTTTTTCTGCTTTGTCTTTCTGCATGAGGGTGGGTGGGGAGGGGATGGGGACAGGGGACAACATGGGACACAGGTCAGGACACATCCCCTCCATTTACTGCCTATTTTCCCCAGCCCTCAGTCTTGTTAAGGGCTGTTTACAGTAGAGCCTGCTAATGCAACCCAGATGATCCTGTTTGCATATAACCAGAAACAGTGTACTGGACTCACTCTGGGGGAGGGGAAGGCCACCACACTCTGCCCTACTGGTCAGAATCAGCTGCTGTCACTCGATGTGCTCACTAGGCCCCACAACTATAATCTCCATCAGGGAGGGCAGCAGAACATCCACTGGGGAGGGAAATAGTATCTATAGGCATTTCTGGAAATTAAAGGTCCCTAATAGGTCATTCAAGAGATATTTACTAAGTGTCCGTTAGGCCCTGGGGACTTATGGACACAGACTCTACCCTGAGGAGGCCAGGGGTGGGGGGTCCACACAAGAACACTAACCATCAGGGTGCAGTGATGGAAGAGGTTAAGGAAGAACCTAGATGCCCCCTTGCCAACCAAGGTGGTGAGAAGGTTTTCCTACAGAGGTATGGGGCTTGAGCTGGTACCCAGGGAAGGCAGGAGTCAGCCAGGGGAGCAGAAATTTCAGGAGGAGGAAAAGCATGTACAAGGCTCGTGGGGCCTGGAAAGAGCACGATGTGATTAGAGAATGACGAGGGATGTGCTTAGGCAAGGAGCAGGCTACCATCCAGGGAGGGACAGAGGTGCTGAGAAGCCAGCAGAGCTCTGATGATCAACAGGTTTTGTGTGGCCTGCTGTTATGGACTGAATTGTTGAAACCCTACCCCCAAATGTGACTGTGTTGGAGATGAGCTCTTTATGAGGTAATTAAGGTTACATGAGGTCAGAAGGGAGGGGCCCTAATCCAATAGGTCTGGTGTCCTTATAAGAAGAGGAAGAGACGCCAGAGATCCCTCCTTCCACGTGTGCACAGAGGAAAGGTCACATGAGGACACAGTGAGAAGGTGGCTGATATCAAGCTGTGGAAGAGGTCTCTCCAGAAACCAAGCCTGTCAGCACCTCGATCTTGGACTTCCAGCCTCTAGAACTGTGAGAAAACAAATGTCTGTTGTTTAAGCTGCCCAGGCTGTGGTACTTTGTTATGGCAGCCTGAGCTGACCAAGACACCTGCGAAGGAGTTTACACTTTATCCAGGTTCGTGACAAGTCACACAATTCAATCTTGCGACTAACTCAATTCACTTCTCCCTACAGATGCCACTCCGAGCAGAATGCCGGTTTCTATCTCCTTGTTCAATGATTTCCCACTCCGCACTTTGCAGTGCTTGCTACTGCTCGGTGCTGAAGAGCGCAGTCTCCCAGGCAGCAAAGTGGTCAATGCCCCCTCATGCCCTCTTCACTGGCAGAGCCCGCTGCTGACCAGGAGAGTCCCGGGAGGCCGCCTGCCCTTCCTTGCCCTGAAGAGCTCTCCTCTCTTGCTTGGAAGGTGTGCTGCAGGCACTTGTCGGGGACCCGCAGCAGCTCAGTCTCACTCACCCTTCAAAGAAGGGTCAGAGCCATGGATGTGCTCTGGAAATGTTTCCAAAATTTGTGCTGGTTCTAGAATGGCCACTTTGCCCCAGGGGCATTCATGTGTTCACATACTGAAGAGTTAGTGCATGCACCTTGAAGGATGCGAACTGAGCTGTCTCCAACACCAGGTTAGGAGAAAAGGAGAGACAGAGAAACCTCAGCTCCTACCTTCCCTTTGAGCCCCCATCAGAAGTCACCTCTTCCGAGAAGACTTTGGATCTGCTCAGACCTGGCCTTTCCTGCCTGTGAACTTGCAAAAGATTTGGTGTTGACCTCTCTTTTCTAATTCCTTTTCTTCTTCCTTCTACTGGTGTGATTTTCTCATCCTCACAATTAGACCATGACCTCTTTCAGAGCAGGGCTGTGTCCTACTCATCCTTTCGTTCCTACAGATCTAGCAGAGAAGGGACACATGGAAGACGTGCAGCCGTGAGATGCAGCTGGGCTAGCCTCACGCCTCTCTAAGTGGAGATGGATGTATTCAGGGCAGTGAGAGGCAGGCCTCACGTGAAGAGTCTCAGGAGCGACCCCCTGGCTGTACTGGCAGGGGGAAGGGTAACGGAGGAGTGCTCTTTGGATGCGGGAGATAAAGGACAGGGAGAGTGTCATCAGATGCCTGAAATACAGTCACGATTACTAAGAATAGCACAAATCTCACTGTCTGGGGATGGAAGCACCCCAGGGAAGGGATGGTGACAGAGGCACATATTACACCTTTTTAACACTTGCTAAAAGCCTGCTACATGTCAGGTACTGTGCTAAGTTCATTCGCTCTGCAAGGTTAAGCACTCTTACACCCATTTTACAAATGAGAAGACTGAGGCTCAGGGAAGCTACATAAGCTGCCTGTACTCACAAAGCTGGTGAACAGCAGGGCTGGGATTCGAAGCCTGCTCTGACTCCAAACCCAGCTGCTTTTCCTGAATCTGCCACGTGGCATCTCTTCTCGGAACTCTGTGTGGCAGGGGACACAGATGTGCACACTGCTAGCTCTACTGCCAAGGTGTGAAGGGGATGGGAGGAGGAGTAAAACAGAGCTCGACTCTGAAAGAGGTCATGGTCTGGTTGTGAAGCTAGAAGAGGAAGAACAAAGCGAGGAGAAAAGAGGTATGAGTACCAAATGCTCTGGGAGTTGAAAGTTTCTAGAAGAGAGTATTGAATTGTGAGTGGAATGTTCAGCCTGGGCCATCCAGAGAAGGTGACCTTGAGCTGGCTAGTGAAAAATAAATATGATTTCAACAGGCAGAAGGAACTTGAACAAAATCATACAGGTATGCACAAGCATGGGAATTTCAGAAAATATTAAATAGTCCGGTCTGTGAGGGGTAGAAACAGTAGAGAAGAGAAGTGACCAAATGTTAGGAACCGGAAAATAAGCAGAAAGCAGTTTAGCTGCCAGATCTACATTAGAACTGGCAGCCAATTCTTTAAAGTAGAAGTTGTAAACTGGGAACATGTTGACAAAGTCTGGCCTCTGGGTATATTAGGTTTGCATAATATTTTTTAAATTAGTAAATTTCACACAAAAATCTAGATTTATAACTTCCTTTAAAAAACTCGAAATCCACACTATGAGCCCTCCCTTCAACAGTGACAACAAGTGGTCAGAGCTGAGGAACAGCTGCCAGTTTGCCACAGTCCTCACCCTTCCCTAATCTATAACACCAACTGCTTCATTTTTCATTACTTGCCAGCAGACATCTGAGATTGTGACTCCCAATTTAACTTTTAATCTCATTATTTAAAAAAACCCCACAATGTCACCACAACCATAACTACAAAGGAGTGCTCGAGTATGCCACAGCACGACCTTTTCTTTGAGTCTGTGCTCAAATGTTCCCTTATCAGAGAGACCTTCTATCAGCGCCTTCTACAGCAGCACTTCCCCAGCCCTCTCTATCCAGCTTCGTTTTCTTCACAGCACATGTCACCACCTGACCTGTTAAGGATACATTTGTTTTTCTGTCTAGTCTCTCTCCTATTGCTAGACTGTGAACCCCACAGGGAGCAGGGACTCCCTCTCTTCTTTATACAGCTCTCTCCCACAAACAGACCAGTGCCTAGTGCACAATTAGCACACAGAGACATGGTTGAGTGGATGAAGGACTCTGAACAGAATTTGACTCTAGGGAGTGAAATGCTTAGAGCCACTTTAACCCTACCTGCTGTGCTCTGGCCCAGAACACATCTTCCAAGTGAGTGGCGAACCCTTCACTCAGCCACTCCTCCGTCCAGTCGCGGGCCCCAATGGCTAGGCCAAACCAGGCGTGCGCAATTTCATGGCAGAGACGGGTCCCACAGAGATGGCTCATGCCTGTCAGGGTGCTCTGAGAGAGGAAGATGATGTGTGGGCTGTGGACAATGGGGGAGAAAACACACAGTGCCTTGTTAGAGCTTGTCCTCGTGGCTCCCCATGGGGCAGCTTTCTCAGCCTGGCGAGCCTGTTATTATCATGTGCATGCTAGATCATGACCGACAGACTTGCAGCTTAGATGCTTTTAGAAATAAAGTGGCAGTTTACGTTTCTGGCAGCGGTTCAGGTTGCCATTTCTGCCAAGCAGTTGTCTCCGTCATCAAACGGCTATTACCTGTAATAAGTAACCTGCACCAAAGTTTTACACTGAAGAAATTACAAGGCAATGGAAGCATTTACTCTGAAATCTGGACTGTAAAAGAAGAGCAGGTGTGAGAACGTGAAGTCCATGCTGTCAAGAGAATGATCAAAGAAGACCCTTCAGCCAAAAATCCCAGCAGCTTACAAACAAATTGAGAAGTCATGCAGAAGGGCAGGAAAAGCCGAGAAGAATGGAACCAAAAATTTTCCATTTCAGACTGGGGCTGGTTATGGAGTTAACCAACTAAAAGGTGCCATGCATGGGTGAGGTTTCCAAAAGCCTCAGATCAACTCCGAGTCTTCATAAGGCAAAAATGTTCAATGGTATCGTCTCCTATTTGTAGATACATATACATTTACACAACATAACAAAATCAGGAAGAGAGAGGAGGAGAGAGATGGGAGTTAACCCATCCAGGTGTGCAAACAGCCCCAGGGCCGGCACCAGCCAGGGAGATTTATCTAATCTCATTTTCCATACCTTGTTTTAAAACCCAAAATACCATGAGCAGAACTGCACAGACGAAACAGGAGGAAGGAGGGTGAAGAACGAAGAGGCAAATAGAATACCTCCTGTGCTTCCACGTATCGTTTATCCAGGACTTGTTTACAGTCTCATTCATGACGAATCTGCTCTTAAAAAACTCTCTCCTCCATCAATTGAACAAAAACAGTTGTGAAACCTTCCAAACTAAAAAACTACGCACTGGCTCCTTCCTGCAAAGCCATTCGATGCCATTAGGCCAGCTCTGCTTGCAGGCTTGTCCTCCGCCCCCACGGCCACCAGGAGAGAAAGCCCACCTGTAGGTCCCTGCACAGTCACCCATTCAGCTCGGAGAGCCATGAGCGCTGAAACAGACAGCTTTCAGGTGAAATAATCACCGGGAGGCACCCAATGAAAAAGCGTCTGCCGAGCTCTGGGCAGAATCCCCTAGAAGCCCAGGAATCAGGATTGGGGCATTCAGGACACAGGGTGCAATGCAGCAGGCACAAAGAGTCGTTCAGAGCTTTGCCTCAGGAAAAAAAATAGAACGGAAGGAAGGAGGGTAGGGGGAAAGGAGGAGAGGAAGGAAGGAAGGAAGGAGGAAAGGGAGGAAGGAGGGAAGGAAGGAAGGAAACAAGACAGTAGGAAGGGAGGAGGGAGGGAACTCAGAGACACACGAGCTAACCTTCCTCTTACTGGGAAAGTCACCCACTGAGATGACAAGCCGTGCAACCTGGCATTTTCAAGTAAATGACCCCTTGCTCTGGCATGTGCAGTGCTACAAAGAAAAGCCACAGAAATGTACCAAGTAAATAACATTCCAGACATACTGCTGGCAGCACTTCACCCTTTTGGCTAAAACAAAACAGAAGTAACTTCAGGCCTTGTAAACAGGCTTACAGACAAGCCTACATCAGACGGGTGTGCTGGCCAGAGGCACAGACAGTGCCCACGTAGTAACAGAGACCCGTCCACTCAGCCCAGGAAGGTTACACAAGCTGATGACTGTGAAATCGCAGCAAAACTCTTCTTGGAGAAAAAGCCTGCCCTGTCCACGGTGACTGCTCGCTGCTGTGCTGTCCTAGTGTGGAAGCCCGGGAGATTTCTGCACATATCGAAGTCTGCGAGGGCCTGAAGGAAGGCACAAAAGCAGCTGTGTGGGGGGCTTTCGTTTTCCTGCCCTTTAATTTTTCCCTCCAACGTTCTTTGCTGTCTCCACCAGACCTCCTTCCCACCTGCCAGCACTGCGGACCTCCAGCCTGGCCTTGGTGCCATCTGACTGGGCTCAGGACAGACCCCGGCATTGCTGGAATCCCACCTAAATTCCCACTTCCCATCCTCAATCCTTTATTCCTGGCAGGGATAAATGCATTTCTTATTGTCCTCTGAGAAAGACCAAAGCTTAAACATCCTCGTGGATAGGAAGGAAGGGCGTTTCACTTCATATAAAAGACCCTATTATCAGTGGAAAACATGCTCTTGTCCTTGAAAAGCGATTTTCCAAGTGAGAAGCAGACCCCATCCCCTCCTGCAGTGGAGTGTGCCCTCCAAGGCTGGGGATGCCTGGGGGCCCCCCGGGCTTGTATTTCCCTCTGAAGGAAAAGGCTTCTTTCTAAACTAAACTAAAAACATGGAGTGAAGTTTTGATAACCTTTCTCAAGGGTTTTTAACAAAAGTCTGACATAAAAGGACCAATAGAATTTTCTTTCAAGGAGAATTTCCTCCTCTCCTTTTAACCCTAAATGTCAGAATTTCTCAGGTTTAGTAGAATTTTTAAACTGCTTTTTTCCAACAGGGAGTGAAGACATTATAATGCTCTGAAGCTCACTTAAAGGAGTAATATTAAATATTCCTTTACCAACAGATAACCTACTTCATGCTACCTTCAAAACAGAATGAATGTCTAGAATTTTCTACTCCTCCCTTAACCTTGATTTATAAGTTTCACCCCTGGGCTCCTCACACCTTCCCTCTTCTCAGAATCGTATTCATGGTCCTAATCAGCCAGCAGGTCATCAGTCTTCACTCTGACAAGGCCCATTTGAAGCCGGGTTTTCTTTTATCTTCTTTTGCCCTGAAAGGGCCCATGTCAACTGCCTCTACAAACACCAAATTGTTGACTCGTCGGCATTACAGAGGATGGAAGACAATCACTTCAACGACATCTTCATGCTAAAAATGGTTCTTTTTTTTTTTTTCAACCACAGAGTTTTATCATTTTTCCCAATAAGAGATGGGCGGGATAGCAATACTTTCAACTCTCAGAAAACACAAGGCCTCTTACTCGTATCCTCCCCCATAAATTCTCTTTCACTACAAGTGGTTGAGGAGGACAGTGGGGCAGGAGCAGGGGGTGGGCAGAGCCACAGCAGGACACGTGTTCTCATCCTTTCCCAGGAGACCACCCACGGGGCTGCCTCTTGATAAAGGCCACGTGGTACTGTATGTCTGCCACCTTGCCACGCCGAGATTAAAAATATCACTTCTGGTCTGAAAACAGTTTCTCAAGACAGTTCCTAAAAGCTACCTCCTCACCCAGATTAGCAGGCTATGTCCGTTAATTTAAAACACGCTCCTAGTAGAGAAGGAAGGAGTGCCGTCATTACTCTCTAGAGCCACTCCAATCCTTCAGGAGGAATTCAATTTGGAGCGGAAATGGAGAATTTCATCAGATCTTAAGCAGGGGCTGTGTGTGATTTATTTCTGCTCTGTCCAGGAGACGTGACCAGCGTGGCCCATCTTGCTGCTCAGAGAGAGGTACAGCACTATCTGCTCTGGCACCATGCTGCCGCCTCAGAGGAGACTGCAGGTGGGACCAAGAAGACAGGAAATTGCTTTGGTTAAGGACAAGAAGAGCCGCAAGCCACCCCTCCCATTTTATTGGAGCAGATCCCAATTCCCTTCAGGCGGAACAGCTTTTCATACAGATCCTTGAGAGGTGTGTCCAGGAAACAGACTATTCATCAAGCTTGAACTTACGGGTTCGAAGTTTTCACAACCTCAACAACATGTGGAGCCCAACGTCCATGACAGAGAGGAAGGAAGAACCAAGAAAGAGGGAAACTGAAGCTCCTTTCCCTCCAAAGTCAAACTGGACAGTTCTAAAGCTTTCATAATCCTGTGAAAGCAACTTTCGTTTGCATGACTTAATTACTTGCTAAAGTTTGGACAACTGTAAAGGAGAGTCATAGTGGCCTGGGACAATCTTAAAGGAAGAATCAGCTCCTGCCTCTTCAGCTCTGCTATGAAACCCCTTTGTCTCTCTCTCCTGGTTGCAGTCCAATGTTGGGGATGAGTCTGTTGTCTCAAAGGCAAAGGGGTGGCCCACGTGACCTAGAGGGCCCCTGCTCCCCTCCGGCTCTGAGACTGCTCACTAAGGACTAGTCACCTTCCATTTGCTCCACTGGGCATCCCGCCATGGCCACATAGTGCAGTCTTTAAACTGGAGGCTTAGGAGATGATGGAATGTTCTTTTGGGGGTTTGGGGAAACTGGGTATCTAAGGGTTACTGTAAATATTCAATAAGAACAGGATTACCTTTCAACTTCCCTTCCAACACAGACATAGATGAAAAGAAGTTAATCTTGTCAATTTGCTGTTTTCTTGTTTAACCTGAGGGGTGACTCAAGAGTCACAAGGATTTATGAGCTTGTTTTGCAGAAGAAAAAGAATGCCTCCAAGGAAGTTACAATCACCAGATAACCAGCGCCCAGCTGCCACTGACACCCAGAAGTCAGACTGCCCAAGGGCTTATCTGGAGTGAAAGTTTCTCCAAAACTCCTCCTGCCCAGCCCCTTAGCTCTATAAACCCTCCTGCTTTCTTCTCTCGTTAAGACGGGTTTAAGAAAACCTATCCTCCCACCTTCTCATCTTGGGCAATTTGAATAAACTTTTCTCCATCTCCAAGCATATCTCAGTGATTACCTTCTGCGCATCAGGCACATGAACTTGAGGTTAAGAGGTTCGGTATCAATGGGACTTGAGGGTAGCTGAGGTAGAAACCACTTCTAAAAACTTGAAGAAAAATTTACTACACCTGATCAACACGGGGATCTAGGTTTGAGACAAAAGGCTAACATTAGTATAACTTTTCCTTTTAAACTTCTAAATAACAAATAGGCAGTAAAACACCTACTCACTTATCTAAATAAATTTTGGCTCAAACTACCAACGTGACTATAGCAGACAGCGACTGAGGGAAGCCCCAGGGCCACATTCCAGAGACTTCTACCAAAAATATATCCTCCTTCTAAA